AAGATATGTAGTCACTGCTGTTGTGTGATGTAATACCACTTAGTGATTTTTCTTAACTTTTATGTGATGGCAGGCCAATATTGAGCTTGTTCAGTTCATCGAAGGATACTTCAATGGTCGTATCTCGGAAAATGGTAGACCAGAAATGTTGAAGTTGAAAGACTGGCCTTCCCCCAGTGCATCTGAAGAGTTTATTTTGTACCAGAGGCCTGAATTCTTTGTTAAGTTACCTTTACTCGAGTATATCCATTCCAAATGGGGACTTCTTAATGTTGCAGCAAAATTGCCACACTACTCTTTGCAAAATGATGTTGGACCTAAGATTTTTATATGTTATGGAGCTGGAGCTTTTAAGGAACCCAGTGCAGGTGATTCTGTGACTAATCTTAGTATCAACATGCGTGACATGGTTAGTTTTCTTGAATTTCCCTTCATGTCTTTGTTTGCAGTAATGTGCGTTTAGGGCCAATGTTGAAAACAATGTTACATTAACATAACTTCGTTTGGTGTTGCTATATGCTTTTGTGGATTAGTGGAGGCTGTCTTTATAATAATTATTGATAGCAAGTTCCTAATTATGAACTTTTGTTTACTAGTTTTGATCTAATCAAGGAGATCTACCAAAAAATTTAGTTATACTAAAGAGTTTTGATTTGTTTCCATATAATAATCTATCCCAATCTGAATTATAGTAAACGCAGCCTGTAGGTTGCAAGTCTAAAGCTGGAAGCATCATTTTTTAAATGAAGAATGCTGTAGAACTTCTGCTGATGAAAGCTATTTTTGAGATATCTCGTTCAATTCTATTTTATGGTTATCTGGTTAAGAAAATTCTAGTGGTAATTTGAAGTGGTCTAGGACCAGTTGGGTTCAACTTGTTAACTTTAGAACTGAATTTGTTCTCATGAAGAAGTTAATGGCATTCAAATTTATTTTAGTACCCCTTCGGTAATGTTTTATGTAGAACTAAGGAGTACGACAAAATATGTGTTTATCTGCATGTTTAAAGAAACTGAGCTTTAGAAGAAGTGAAAGAATGCAAAATGAGCAAACAAAAACACCACCCAAAATAAATGAGCCAAAACAAACACAGACATAATCAAGATAAAAAATAAGACTTTAATCCAAAGTAATAAGACGAAGAGGATTATTACAAAAGAACTTTAGAGTCAGACTTGGCAAGAGCTAGACACCTCTTCCCACGACCTCTCTTAACTCTCTAAAACTTCTCTCATTCCTCTCCAGCCGAATACTCCATAAAATAGGGGAAAAAAAAAACAGCCTGACACAGAATACCACCATTATCTTGAGTGGGCAAATGGAATATGACCTCCATTATAAGGCAACAATTGCTGTTTTGATCCATGCACCAGATGCACAATATATGTATTGATATTCAGATTATTCTTATCTTTATTCTCTTATAAGAACGATGAAAATTGAAGAACAAATTCTTGGATTTTAGACTTTGATTAGCATTTTTCTAATTATGTATTGTGGATATGCTAAGAGTATAATTTGAGTTCTATATTTTAAAAGTTTTAACTACAATTTTATTCTTTAAGCTTTCTTCACTCTCTATTCAGTTTTTGTACTAAAGAAGTTTTTGATTTGTCTATCTAGTCTTTGTAATTTGTAAACTTCAATTTTGTGTCTGAGAGGTTCCTACACCTAACCTTGTAAGTTTAAAGTTTACACGACATATTAACTTTATTATCTAAGAATTACTTGGAGGTTTGAGTTTAAGCATGTTCAAGAATAAGGTTGTGAGAATAAAATTGATGGATTTATAAATAGACACAAAAATGAAAGTTGAGGGGTTTCATTAGAATCTTTTTAAAATATAAAGAGTTTACAGGCTCAACCTTGAAAATTTATGGGTTTATTATAAACTTAAGTACAAAGACTTAATAGACTCGATAAAGGTTTAGAAAGCTAACCTCTATTTTACCCTTATTTAAATATCCTCTTAAATAATATAATGCATGCATTAAGGAGTGAATGAATCACTGTGATGGATGAAAATGGATTCACATTGCAGGTATATTTATTGGTTCATACTCATTCAGTGAAGCCTAAGGAGGCTCAGGGGATTGATATTGAGTGCACGGAAAATACCACTGTGAAATATGTGGCAAATGAGTTGCACAGTGATGAAGAATTGTGTTCCGGTGATGGGAGATCAGCAGACCTATTAGTCCATGGTCATGCATCGCAGGATGAGCAGGAGGCTATGGGTGAAGCAGAGACAGAAGGCACAGTGTTGAGTCAGAAGAAGGAATCGAATTGTGCCGATGAGCAAACTGACAACTCTAAAATGTCAGATAGAGATATATTTAAAAATTCTTATTCTGCAGTTGTTTGGGATGTCTATCGGCAAAAGGATGTTCCCAAATTGACCGAGTATTTAAGACTGCATTGGGAGGAATTTGGGAAGTCTGTCAACATAAACAATGATCTTGTAAGTTGTTTCTCCCTCCCTCTCGTTTTAAATAATGGGGAAATAGTTTGTAAATTATTTCACATGCAATTTTGTTGAGTGTCAGATTATGCGGCCTCTTTATGATGGAGCATTGTACCTCGATGGACATCATAAAGGGAAATTGAAAGATGAATTCGGTAAACTTCTTCTGACTTGATTTTCATTAGCTTTCGTTGCGTATATGAGAGAGAATGTTATTTGTACAGTCATTTAAATTTCGATAGATTATGCTTACGACAATTAGGAGCAAGTGGGTTTAATTATAAGGGAAATGAAAATATATTGTGGATTTTGATCATTTCTTGCATAAATGAAAATAAATTATTATAGATAGCTTGAGAGTTTATTTTCTGAACTCGAGCTTATTTCACTCGCATTCTTTTCTTCCCCTCTTTTTCTCTCTCTGCTTTGCAAAGAAATGAAACTGAACAAAAGTTCTCTGATGAATCTTTTAATTCTTCTCCCATATAATCCTTACAAATGCACGTCTCTTTCAGGAGTAGAGCCTTGGACATTCGAGCAACGTTTGGGTGAAGCTGTTTTTATCCCTTCAGGATGCCCTTTTCAAGTCATGAATCTTCAGGTAGTTCAACTGTTACTTTACGTTTTGATCACAACATTTATCAACTTTCTTTCCCCAAATGAGGCCAAACCACCCAACAAATAAAATGCAGATGTTCAATGATGCTTATCTTTATGTTTTTGAAATTTTGAATTCTAAAGGTTGTCTTCCCTATTGGTAAATAAAGGAACTAAATTCTTGAACCTCTAAATTTGAGTACTTGTGGCATAAGGGTGAGTTTGGAATGCCCTATGTGCTTTTAAGTGAAACACTCATTTTGTAACTAATGGAAGAAAATTAGTTAAATGCTTAATCTAAGAGCACTTTACGTGCTTTCATCTGTTTTTAGAATTTCTCAAACTACTTTTAATTATAGAAAGTTCGAAACAATGTTTTTAAAATGTTATCTAAAATCTAAATGAAACACCACCAATTTAAAAAAACACATTTATTCCTTCTTAGAACGTTAAAAGACATGCCTAACACACATTAATTCAGTAACCTGATTTCGATTCTTGAGCTCTCAGTTGGACTTGACTATTTTCCTTGGGCCAACACATTCTTTTTGTTCGACATGGGAATGGGTTATTTATTTGTTTTCCTCGAAGTTTGATTTTTTTTTCTATTTCTATTAATTGAATTTTTCATATATAGTGTCTCCTCTCCCAATCAATATTCATATATACCAAACAGTAAATTTCGAAGTCCTGAAGTTTGCAACGGAAGACATTTTCCTTAAAATTTGATTTCCTAAAACTATAATACCAAAGGCCCTCTTTGCTTTCCAAAATTTCTCCCAGGCAATCTCAACGGCCAATAGGAGATATTTACTTCTGATAACTCATGGTAATTTTGTTCACTTGTCACAGAAGTATAGTTATGAAAATTGAAGCTATTTTACTCTTTAGGTACAGTAGACTTTAATTCTATGTTGTTTTATCATCATATTTCTGGAGAATAAGCTGCCGCCGGAGATGTGTTGTTGATCTTCTTATGCTTTGTTTACTGTATAATTCACAGTCCAATGTTCAATTGGGTCTTGACTTCTTATCTCCCGAAAGTGTTGGTGAGGCTGCAAGAATGGCTGTAGATATCAGGTGTCTTCCCAATGATCATGAAGCAAAACTGCAAGTGCTGGAGGTCAGAGACGAGGACAATTTTGAATTAAATTTTTTTTAGTGTTAATCTCATTTGGTCCATTCGTTTTTAATATCCATGTGTTTGGGGCAACTCGAACCAATTGCTTGACCTTATTTTCTTTTGGTCTTCTTTTTTAATATGCTTCATATCTTATTTGGGTTTATCGTTTGCCTGTTTTGGGGTCTGGTATAGGTCGGAAAAATCTCACTTTATGCAGCAAGCTCAGTTATCAAAGAAGTACAGAAGTTGGTACTCGATCCAAAGTGAGCAACTCCGTCCTTCCAACTTTTGTTGTTGTTCTTGTTGTAAAATCTGTTATCAGTATGAAAGAAAAAAGGGCGGTCCCTAGCGATGTTTGATCCCTCGTTAGGTTCTATGTTTTTCTTTGGGCGTGACCAAGATCTTTGTAATTAAAAAAAGGAAAAAAAAGTTGAAATAAACTCATTTTGGGGATTAAACTTAAATGCTCATTTTTCTCGCGAACATGAAATAAAATTGTTGTATATTTGCCTTTTAGTTCTTCAGATTCAACTTGAAATACTTCTGTTTTTCAATTCTTTCAGGCTAAGTGACGAGCTCGGAGTCGGGGACCCTAATTTGACTGCTTCCGTTTCCGAAAACTTGGAGGAGATGACAAAGGGAAGGCAGATAAGTTGTGCTTAGTTTGTTTATATTTATTATTGTACTATAGATTCAAAAGAGTATATTTACCAACACTCACTACTGGACTTGAAAAAACCTGTATATATGAATGCGGTGCAATAGTTAGATCTTCTGCACATGCCAACTAACAAAATATTTTTTAGGCTTTTAGCCTGATGTAGAAACATTGTAACATCTCCAATATAGTTCTAGAAATGGCAAGATTAGAGTTTTACATTCATTCTAAACTTTTATAGTAATCCTTGAAATAAATCCCCAAACCCGACCCACAGCCGTAAACATTAGAGCCTTCAAGCTGAGAGACAAAAGGAATTGGCAATTGTCCTCATCTCTGATTTTAGACCTGGCCATTCTGATTCAGGTGCCTGGGCATTTAGTGTGTATAACTTGCCCAGATAAACAAAACAGACCGCTATGTTGTGACGTCGAAAAGACGAGCTCTCTACTTTAAATTCCAGTTCGTAGTATTTGACATTTCTTATCGAATCCTCTCTGAGAGTTGTTTGTATCAAGGTTCCTTTAAGATCAGGGCGTTTGCTGGCCCTTGTAATTGTCCTGATCACAGCTTCCCCTACTTCATTTGGTCCTCCAAATGCTTCAATTCTTTGTGATCCAAAGAACCAACCAAAAAAAGAAAAAACATAAACCTTTTTAGAATCAAATTTCCTTTCAATGAGGCAAGTCTGTAGGTTCATTTCATTTTCAACTTCTCCTAAAATGTAGAAGTTTATAGAAATCCTGAACCTAGGATGAGATTTGATTATCTGTAAGGCATATAGTTTCATCTTGTTTTTGTCTCTCAGGAGGTGTTCGGTTTACAGCAAATCGAATTTAAGAAGTCAAGTTTATGTTCGGTACATGAGTTTGTCAGTCGAGGTTGTGCATTTGTTTGGACTGCATAAACTAAGTCTATTGCTAATTTTTCGTACTTCCTAATAGTTTTATAAATCATGAACTCACCGATCATGGTTTATACGAAACCTTAGTTCTTATAACCCGACTCCTTTCTGTTATATAAATTCAGATCGATCGTGCCTCAGATTTCACAAGAGTTGAACACCTTCCAAGGGGTTTCTAAAAGATCCTAAATCTAGAACATTTTGATCCATCCCTTGCTCGCATGTTAGAATGTGGAGAATTGAAATGATTTGTCATAATGTTGAATTGTAGACAAGTTAGGTAAGCTTACGAAAAATCGGGTGAGACAGGAGACACAATGACGCTAACGTTGAGCTCTCCGCTCGAACCTGGTGGACCAAATGCAACCAGTGGCTCATTAACACTCCGACGACGACGATCCATGTTGGAGCTGGTCAAGGGTGGAGGGTCGAGTGATCGTTCAAATTCAGACTTTTCAGCTGCTCGATATAGCAACCTCTGGTCTCCTACCCATCTTGCTGGGTATATAAACTCTGGATGTTCTTTAAACAGAAAATTTTAGGCAGTGTGATGGAAGAAAAAAAAACAATAAAACCATAAAATGTAGTTTAAACACTAATTAATATTATATAGATTTATTTAAAATTAACAATTTTTTTTTTTTTTTTTTAATTTTCATCCTCAAATATTTTTTAAAACAAATTAGACTACCAATATTATAATTTTTGTCTTTTATTCAATTTTTGTAATTTACTAATTAATTTTGTGAAAAAAAAAATTGAAAATTACTACTACCTCAACAAAGTCCAATCAAATTAAGTTTGGTTAATGCCTAAATTAACCATTAAAAAATTAAAAAAAAATTCAAAATTCATAAATATAACGGCCCAAATCCATCATTCTCAGATATTGTCTTCTTCATCCCTTTTAGGCTTTCCCTTGAATACCCAGTTACCCCAGCGGAAGGAGTATACGCACTTGATCGAGTTGTTTTTTCTATTGATTTAGTCCCATAAGTAATAGCAGGGATGGCGGCAGAGCTATAGTCAAAGAAGCCGCGGGAAGCAAAGGCACCAATAAATAGCTAGATGGGTCGCATAGAAGCTTTAAGAGATAGGGGGCCAGCCAAAGAAGATGGCAGCGGGAGCACGAACGAGGTAACTTATGCTTTTTTCATCGGCACTATCCGCTTTATAGTCGAATCTGGAGAATATGAACTCATCACATTCTTCTTTTTGGTATGTTGTTATGAGCTGGGTTTTCACACCCTTATAATTGCAAACTCAAGGCTTTAAAACTCCTTGGGGAATGTTTCCAATCCCTTATAAATGCTTTAAAACTCAAGGCTTTAAAACGCGTGGGGGAAGGTTTCAAGGCTTTAAAACGCCTAGGGGAAGGTTTTCACACCCTTATAAATGGTGGTTTGTTCTTCTCTTCAACCAATGTGGGACATCACAATCCACCCCCTTCGAGGCCCAGCGTCCTCGCTGGCACTCTTTCTTTCCTCCAATCGATGTGGGACCGCCCCCAAATCTACCCCCTTTGGGGCTCAGCATCCTTACTGGCACACCGCCTCGTGTCTACCCCCTTCAGGGAACATCGAGAAGGCTGACACATCGTTTGATGTCTGATTGATACCATTTGTAACAGCCCAGATTCACCGTTAGCATATATTGTTCTCTTTGGACTTTTCCTGTCGAGCTTCCTCTCAAGGCTTTAAAACGCGTCTACTATGGGAAGGGAAAGATTTCCACACCCTTATAAACTGTGGTTTGTTCTCCTCCCGAACCAAGATGGGACATCACACTAAATTTCAATGGTTTTTCTTTTTAATGTTGTGGTTCTTTCTAATTTTATAAATTTTGTACTATAAAATTTTAAGTAAAAATTGATACAATTTTGACAAATTTGAAAATAAATTATTGTTTTTAATTAATTAAACGCTGAAAAAAAAAATCCAAAAAGAAAAAAATTGTATGCTGCAGAACTTACTGACCAAATCCTTCATTGTTATCAATGCACCGGCTGTACCCTCCAACTGGATAAACAACATCGAGTTTCAAACGCCGACTGTTTTCCGGCGACAATCCGAGAAGAAAGCTCGTTACGCCGCCAAAATTTGCGCCGACGGCCACCAGAGAAGCCGACCCAATCCCTACAGTTAGCCTCCGTCGAAACGTCGCTGCCAGCGGTGCGAATTGCTCCGCCGCAGAATTTCCGGCAGGGTCTCCGGACGGTGACTGCGCCGACACTATTCCTCGCCGGAAATACATCATTTGACCGCCGACGAAGCAGCGAGTAAACGCCATTTTCCGACGCGCCTGTTCTCTTGAAGAGGGACAATGGCGAAGCTAATCAATTATATTTATGTGACTTTTGTGATCCCTCTATCCATTCTCTCTCTAAGGACTGTTCTACTATTTTGCCAAAGTTTGGGGACCAATCAGCAAAAATGAATGAATTCTTTGTTAATTAGAAAATTAAAACTTTTTAGATTTTAGAATATTGTTAGGAATCGTGAATTGATTCATCAATAGTATGATATTGTCTACTGTGAGTATAATCACGAATCCAAATTAATCGAGGCTCGACTCTTTTTCTTTTGGAGTCTTAGTCATTTTTAACCATGCATTCGAGGAGCCTCGACTCCTTTTTCTTTTGGAGTCATTTGTTCGACATTTGAGGATTCTATTGACATGTTTAAAGTGTTTAGAGAATGATATCATATTAGATGAACACGACCCTCCACAATGATATTGTCCACTTTGAGCATAAACTCTCGTGACTTTGCTTTCGGCTTTCCCAAAAGGCCTCATGACAGTGGAGATAGTATTCCTAGATCATAAACCCATAATGATGTGGGACTTTCATCAAACCGTGGTCACACATATAGGCCTTTAAAGAAAATAAGAATGGAACCTGTTCTAGTAATTGCTCGGCTTGAAACTATTGTAGCTCTGACCAATTTTCCTTGTGGCATTTCTTCACGATACGAAAGAGAAGGAATAAGATTTTAGGATGAATGACTAAGCTTGAGAAAAAAATTTTAGCACCGAAACTGATATTTCGAAGATTGCTAAAGACTATGTTTGAAGCGTATCAAATCTGCTCACTATTTCATCATTACACCAAAAGAGAAGAACACGTTATGTGAATCAAATATTCATTCAATCGGCGGAACTCATTTTTCAACGATATTCAAACTCAGACAATCAATCACCGAACATTTTCCGAGCATCCAAACAAAAATGTCCAACCGAAACACAATCCACACGATTCCAAGTCTTCTACGCCGAAATAGTCTATCGAACAACATTATGCAAAACAATAAAACGCATTCAACTTCATAAAACTAGAACAAAACAAGAAGATCAACTTACTAACAAGCTATCTCGAATGGAGCTCTCCGTTACGTTGAATATCATAAAAATCAGAGAAACAAAGCTTGCCATGAAAGCAACTACGAACTTGAAACCCCAAGACTAGTTCATCGATAGATGACATGTCGACTTTTCTTTGTATAATTAATTTTGTTTTAGCTTAGTTTTAAAAAATATTTATATTATTTCTAAATATCAATATTAGTTTTAATTTTGATTTTTAAACTTAATCATTGTCACGTTATTTTAAGATAATTTTAAATATTGATAAACGTATTTTTTAAATGAGATAAAATTCACATTTTTTTTTTCATAAACTAATAATTCAATTCAACTTCCATTTATTATACTAAAAATCTAATAATAATATAGGTTTAAAATTTATTTATATTTTAAAAATGAAATACAATATATTTTAATTTATATACTTTTAGTTTGGATCCATTTACTTTATAAAAAAAAAAAATCATAATCTCTGTTTATAAAATCAATTTTCTTTTAAATTTTAATCAAGAAATATATATTTTAAAATTATTTATTTAAAATTGTGTTAATTTTTTTTAATTATAACTGACAACAAAATATATAATTTTTGTCCGGGAGATTTACAAATGCTAACAAATATCAACTAGTTTTTAACTATCAAAGTAAACATATAATTTAATACTAATCGATCAAGAGGTCAAAGATTTGAATAACTATCAAAGTAAACATATAATTTAATACTAACATATATATCATCGATCAAGAAGTCAAATATTTGAATCTCCTACCGAAAAATTCATCAAACTAACGAAGAAAAAAAAAAAAAGGTTAACTTTTGAGGTAAAAGTAAAAGAAACAAAAGTAAATGGTAAAACCTAGAGAGATCAATCAAATTGAATTCAAGTTGGAACAGATTCTTCCCATGCAAGTTTCAATCTCCTTATAAAAATGCAGATTCTGAGAACATCTTGGATGCAAGCTTTTAACTGCTAAACCTAAGATTTGAGCCACGTCGCCTGGTGGATATGGATACTCGACACATGCCTGCACGTTACGGTAGCATGGAAACAAGTAATGAATGAACTTAGAAAGATACATCGAAGTCTAACAACCACTAAATTTTCCTCTAAACATGTTAGATCTTATATCAGTTGGAGAGAGTAACGAAGTGTTACGAATCACGGATCTCCATAATGGTATGATATTGTCCACTTTGAGCATAAGATTTTGTTTTGGGCTTTCCCAAAAGGCCTCATACCAATGAAGATGTATTCCTTACTTATAAACCCATGATCATTCCCTAAATTAGCCAATGTGGGACTTCTTCCCAACAATCCTCAACACAAAGTCCTTAAAGGGTGTGAAAACCTCTCCCTAATAGACGCGTTTTAAAACTTTGAGGGAAAACTCGAAAGGAAAAGTCCAAAGAGGGCAATATCTTCTAGCAATGGACTTGGGGTGCTACAAATGGTATTAGAGCCAGACACCGGGCGGTGTACCAGCAAGGACGCTAGGCCCCCTAGGGGGTGGATTGTGAGATCTCACGTCGATTGGAGAAGGGAACGAAGCATTCCTTACAAGGGTGTGGAAAATTCTCCCTAATAGACGTGTTTTAAAACTTCAAGGGGAAGCCCGAAAGGAAAAACAAAAAAAAAACAATATCGGCTAGCGGTGGACTTGAGTTGGTACTTCATAGCAGTCCACAATGATTTTATACAATGCCCAACAACACTATTCCTACTGAAGTTCATGTTTCTAAGAGTAGTAGGACAAAACCAAACAAAGTAACAACAGACATAAAATTCAGTGGAAATAGTTCTTCTAGATGCTTGTAGTGGCAGGAAAATGAGAATAACCCATATCATATCATTTCTTAGTTTCATAGCAATTACCTGGATCATAAGCAAAGTAGCAACACATGAAGTGATTAGATTTGAAGGAATTCCTCCATAATCTTTATCGGAACGTCTCGATCGTGGACTGAATAGATCACTAGTAGGAAGGTGTTCCAATGAGCATAATTGGTTAAAGGGGCCCAAACTGTCATTTATATACTCTTGAGACTTGCTTAAAGGTTTCTGATACTCAAACGACTCAAAAGAATGCAGGGCACCACAAATAATTGTCAGAGGATCATCACCTTGGCTCGTGCTCAACATGACCTGAACAAAATAGTATATCATGAAATCTCTCTTCACAAATACTCGTGCACCATCAATCATGTTTGCCTGTTTTTACACCACTAAGACATGAGTAAAGAAAACCTAGTGCCTAAATTCAAGGAAATTGCCAATAAATTGTTCAAGGATCAACTTGTTCATTGAAGTTGCAAATAAATGAGCTTGTTTCATATCTGATGGGCTCACCATATATAATGCTATAAGGATTAAGGAGGAAGCCTAGTTATAACAATAAGAATTAATCAAGTAAACTCCACCTAAATTTCAGAATACGTGCATGTGTGCACGTATGTTGTTTGACGAGTGTGTGTGTGTCTGAGAGAGAGAGAGAGAAAGAAGTACCTCAATAGCAACATTTACCATCAACTGTGCCTTTTCCCTCGAACCTCTGACAATATCAACAACCCCACATCCTGATTCATGAGAAACATTTAAAGAATGGGGGATACCACTAGGTGCTCTGGTATTAGCTAGAGACGGAGACATCGACCATGGAGGCAATGAGTTCCCAGGGAAAGTATTATGCTGCGCCAGGTTAAATGTGGTGGAAGGATCCTACAGATGCATACAATCAATTAAGATGTTGTATGGAGTTGAAACAAATAACAGATTCAACACAACCATGGCTAATAGATTTTGAAGGTACAAAGTAAAAATGCACATCTCCTCGGCCACTTCGAAGTTCGTTTTCTATAGTGTTCTTGATTAGTTTGGTCCTATAGTTAATTGGATAGGTTCCAACCTAATCATGCATATCATCCAACTATAGTTTTTGAGCTCACTCTTCAAGAACAGTTCACTCAATTCTTATTTCAAGGAATCTCTTAAATAATGCAGTATTTGAGCTCACCCTATATCCTACATTCATGCAATTTTCTGCATTATTCACGTTCCTTTAGAACATTCATTCTTTATTACCAAGGTTGGACAGATCCAACCAAGTCTCGGAAATGAAACTTTAACCGAACTGTAGGCTATTCGGTAGCCTTTTTGCAAAGAAGCTAAGATAGTCCATGTTTTTTAGACTTGTGTGCCTCAATGTAAGATGCCATCTCACTTAAGTCTCATTGGTTCATAAGCACAAATCTCTTCCTACTATGGCTAGAAGGCTTAACTATGCTTTAGCTTCCTGTAAAAGCTAAAAGAATAACACCAGCATAAAAGCACGCTTATATATTTATGCAAGCAAAAGGAGCCTATACATACAGAACCGACTACAATGATATAAATTTACGAAAAATGATTCCAATTGTTGAGAATAAGAGATGTTGAGGATCCAAGTATCGAGCATCTGGCTAGCTCTTGAATGTATCACTCTGGTCTTATCAGTTATCGAACTAATGATCTGAATTCAAATCCACAAGAAATATGCTAATCTATCCATCAACATATAAAAAATGAGATTTGAAACTACGCCGAAATCTTATTAACGAAAATGTTAATAACATGCAGAGTAATTTTAATTTAAAAGTACTCAGAACTCAAGTGTGCTACCAAGGTATCAATGGTGTATGGGCTGGATGCTTTCTCCAATTCTCTACTTAGATTTGGATGGCTATTTGCCTTTGGCTCTTTGCATTCGAGAGATGATGCGTTGATGGAACGGCTCTGACATCTAAGAGCCACTGGAAGATTATCCAGTGGATTGAAAGGCATGCAATCAAAATCCTGAAGTGGAACTTTTTTATGTCAGTAAATAAATAATGACTAGCAGAAAGACAAGTTCTGGGTTCAGCAGCAACAAATTAGATAATATTAGCATCAAAACTATATCCCTCTTGTAACATCTTTAACAAGGCATGAAACTCTTTGTTGTATGCAAGGAAAAAAGACTATTGTTAAAGATACAAACTCTATAAAGGAGTGAAAAAAAAACTTATCCTAACCTATCAACTTAAGCTAAGCTTTTGGGTTCGGTAGTAACGCCATTTTCTGTTTAGTTAACTACTCGTTGCATCTTAGATTAATTTCCAAGCTCACAAATAAGTGCTAAATATATGAAATAATAATTAAATCTACCGTTTAGGTTAGTTACAAGATAACAAATGTTATGGACCCATGTGACAAAAAGAAGCATATGAAATAGTAATTAACATACTATTTAGGTTGGTTAACAAGATAACATCTTACAGACTAATATCTTCACCAAGTGGCAAACAAAGCATACATGTACTTATGACCGAATGCAAGTACCAGACGAATTTTAAAACCCCTACTAATATGGATTAATACCATAAAAGTTTAATGGATCTCTAGTCCTTTCCCATCAGAATAGAATAGAATAGATAGCTTTATCCTGCTCTTTTACATGGCATATGCTTTTTATCTTTAAACAACTTACACTAATTAAACAAGATTCTAAACCCAAAGGAAGAGTAACAGTATCGTATATGAGTTAACCCAGCAGGAGTAAACCTACCATCACTAATTCGACTCCAATCTCCTGATTATCAAACTGAATCCTGTACTTGTCATGATTAACCGTTAAGACCATTCCATCAAGAACTTTTAGTGTGTTTGGAAGCAAAGCTATTACACGCTGCCCAACAGTTAAGGGTCTCGCCAAATCTGTAGGAAGCCCTTCACGACTGCCAGCATGGAGGTCAGCATAAATTTGTCTTACAGATTCTCGGAAAAGTTTGAGTTTCATTCTTTCTCCATGAAGAAAACATTCAGACAATCGCCGAGGTTTACCGAGGGAACTGCATAAACAGACACATTTCAGACTTTCAGTTCATGGCATTCTCGAGTAAGTAAAAATTTACAAAAGATACCTTCTTATGACACTCCATTCAAGACGAGTTAACTGTGGGATGTTTTTCAGGCCAACATGATCCAAATACTCGACAAATTCCCTTCTTGCAAACCAAGGATAATCAATTGCACTATAAAACCATTCAAAAATGCACCATCTACGCAGCAAAGTGGACGACATGCAATTAGAAAGTTTGTCCTGAATTGTCGAAGCACAGGCAGATAGTTTTAACATTGTGCTATAGTTCAAAACCTGAAGCAGAGACCCAAATAAAGAAGAAACTGAAGATCTTACTTTGAGGTAGAATGCTCTGTCTTGAACAGAGGGGGAATATTTCATGAGCTCTTTTTCCAATTTGTCGTCACAGGGCTTCGTCTTTTGATGGGTCAACAATCTCCGAAGCCCCATCTTACATCTACTTCGACTCCCCTGCTTAATTGGTAGAGTGACTTGATTTTCTACAGGAAATGGAATTAATTGGACATATCAATTCCTTCATTTCTAATCAATTTCCAAATATCTTCTAATATAATGAACTATTTCCAATATTTTTCATTGCAAAAGTTGTCATGACAAACTTGTTTACCGTTATTCATTGGTTTAGTATGCCCAGATGTGGCCTGCAAAAAAGAAAGATACACGAGCAATAAGGAAAAGGTGATATATTGTAAAAGTAACTCCACAAATCATTGAGCTGCCTTTCTTCAACTGCGTTTTCTCTGAAGAAAACCTAAAAATGCCAACCATCTCGTCTTCAATTAGCAAAGCCATTAGGCATTTCTGGGACAATTTTAAAGTTAAGGCTTGAATTGGTATGTCGCAGATTCCTCATTCTCATCCAAAAAGTCCTTTGTGGCAATTCCTTTAAAAAGAAACTAGATATGCATGCTATAAGGCTTTTCGATCAGAAGATTTGATAGGGGAGGAAGCAAAAAAAAAGGGTATGAATCGGATGGATATACAGAATAGATCAAACTTTTGGATCCTTGTGGTGTACTCTTTCTCCAGTTTTGTGTAGCTGCATTTCCTCTTTGATTGTTACCAATGTGGAGTAAGTTTCTCTAAACTTCTTTCATTATTACCCATTGGAGTAAGTTTCTCAATAAAAAGTAATTTTCTTTCACGGAAAAAAGAAAAAATTCAAAAAAGACGAAGGCATCATTGATAAATGATTTTGCATTAGAATAAAATGGCTCATCAGAAGCAGCAGAAACATGGCATCAAACTTATCTTTCCCAACCATATGAAAGGCACAAAAAACCGAATCAGAAACTGCATTGTCAACACAACCAAATGACATTTTTTAAAGGGAAAAAGAAATCATTCTTGCAGAACGCAACTATACCAAACATACTGATGAGCAAATACCTCAGATGCAGTGCAGAGAAGTTAAAATGACAGACAAACCATGCATTTAAAAGTGAAGGACAACCAACAGGGAGTTAAAAGAGAATAAATGTCATGATGTTAATGATATTTCCACTAAAATTTATTAAAACGAAATCCTTTAGACTTCATAAAATGAACATGCTTTATGTTTACGTAAAGAAGCAAAACTTCGACCTACATTTTCTTCTTCTTGTTTTTTTGGGAAAAGAAGCCAGCTTTCATTTAGAATAATGAAATTACAGAGTAGAGGATATCCGTATGTTATGAGTTAAAATTCTACAAAACTACAAATAATGGCATTTTCTTCATTGAATCCTTTCTCCATTTCATCGTATCATTTTGTATAGCAAGAATCTGCAAGAATTTCAGCTAAAATGTTCACTTACTGTCTTCAAATTTTCACGTAAATGGGCATCCACGGGAATTTTTGTATCAGGTATCTGCAAGTGAATAGTGAATAATGAATAATGAAAAAGAAATAGTTTTTTGTATACTCTATACATTAGATAAAAACTAGCAAAATCAAGAGACAACTTCCAAAAGGAGCTTTCACATTGAAAATTACTAGCTTTATGGATCAGTGTGATACCGCAATTGACAAGTCACTTCCAGGTTTTGATTTCCCATAACCTGTATCCTCAATATTGAACGTTTCAGGGACCATGATTTGCTTTGCTTTATCCTCAATACAAGATTTGTTTTCCAAATTGAAAGAGTCAGTTTCCTCCACAATTTGAACAGATCCTTCTTGGTGCAGATCAACAATGATAAAATATAAGGAAGCTTATATTTAGAGGACATAGGTAATAGATGAATCATATAAAATAAAATAAAATAAAATAAAAAAAAACCATCATATGTAAACACAATAAGGAAGCTTGTATTTTTATTTTTACTGCAATAATGAAACTTATATTGGAAGAAAGCATGAACCGATCGAAAGTTTTAGGTTTCCTAAATCATCATTCTCACCCTAGGGAGGCAAATAAAGTTTTTAGATATGCATTGAAACTGTCTAGTGAGTATGCCTGTGTCTTTAGCTTCATCCATATAACTCCCCTTTTCCTACTAGTAGAATTATCAAAAAAGTAATGAACAATTAGGAGTAAAAGCACCTTGATCGATTACCAAATGTAGATGGCAAATTATTACACTAAGTACATAACGTATTTTAATGATATTGAAAGGCATTACTCCAAAGAGCTTTTTACAAGAAAAAGATGTTGCTTGACAGAAGTATGTGTTCAACCATCCATCGAGAACAACAATATCAATACGCAGATAACGAGCATATCAACAGCATAAAAAAGAACATTTGATGCAATTAAATTTGATTTGTGGCTGATTGTGCCATCCTCTTAGAATCTTTGTCGTTTTATAAACGTTTGGGTTAAATTTGAAAAGTGAAAAATAGGGGAAATGGGAGGAATATAAAAAGTTAGTTGACATAAAAAGGATGAATAATGTTAAGAATAGCCACAGAGTGGTTTAGTTTTCAAATTCAATAATGTTAAGCATCGTGTCTATTCTACAAGCAGGAACCTTTTGTTGCCCAACCAAGAATGTAAGTTTATTATTAATATCAGACCATCATATCACACTCCAAAACTATGATAAATTAGAACAAACAAGTATCTATTAACCTGGTTCCATGGCAGTAAATGGCATCACGGAAGACAAATCAGCTAAGGTCTGCAAAGCATCTACAGCAATGTTCCCATCTATTCAGAAAAACCACAAATTAGCAACTTTTTAAATGAAAAAACCAGAGAGTTCAGAACATTATACAATTCTGTTCAACCAATGATAATCATGAAAATTAACCAACCACAAGTTGAGCAATTGAACGGTTGACTCTTTCATCAACTAATATATAAAACAATCATTGCATACAACACTACAGATTGAAACTAGAGCAACAAAATTACCTCCACGTGACTGCTTCCTGCTTTTCTTTTTCTGAACTAGTGGAAATGATAGCTCACAATCTGCATTTGAAATTTCAGAGTCAACTTTTCCTTCTGGAACACTGAGACTGCCTACGCCATCCATAATAGATGCTTCAGGTCTATTTTCTGTTAAATAATCGATACTTTGATGAAACTGCCTGTTTTTATCATCTAAAACTTTCTCCTTTCTGTACCGTTTCTTCATCTTGTGGTGAGCCTTAACTATCCTTGCAGACTCTATATCTACTATCAAGCTAGGATCATAACCAAATTGTTCGATTGGTCTTCCTTTACGTCCACCGCTGACCTGAAATCAGTCCTGTACAAGTTAACATCCAAAGCTTCAACTGTTTCCAACTATCTCCAAAGAGCAAGAAAGGAGAGTGTGGGTGCTAATTGCATAAACAATTATAACATTAAGCATAACACTACTAGCAAACAATAATGTTACTGAAGGAAACTTCAATGAATACTGAAATTCCATTTTTCCCCTCACCTCGTATGAGGATTTCAAGTTCTCTTTTATTTTGCAAGGCATGGATGTTGCGGAAGTGCCCCCTCTTTGTGAGGCTTCAGCCAAAGCTAATGTGGCACCATGTGCAACTTCATCGCTGCTCACGTGAAATTCTGACTTCTTCGAACTTTTATTACCAGAAGCATGGTTTTTCCATTTATTTCTTTTATTTGAATATGAAATAGGAACACGAGGTGTCCTTTTCTGCACAACACGAGGCTGGCTACCTATATGAAGATTGTCACAGCCAAGGTTTAAGAAAAATTAGGTCCTGTTAATCTTGTTATAGGACAATTGTAAAAAATATTTTTGCAATGCTTTTACTGCCAAGAAAACATTTATCAGAATGTAGGTTTTAGCTACAAAAAATACATTTTTATTGGCAGGAGAACTATTATATCTATCATCAACGTGTATAGAAATAGTTAATATTCAAACAAATTTCATGCTTTTTTTCTACATATTTGTAAAGTATAAACTTACAAAGGGACAATTTAATGGAAAAATATCAAACTTCTGGCACTTTTCAACCAATTCAAGAGGGATGGTCTCACCAAAGAACTATGTGTTTGTACTTCAATTCCAAAAGATGTGTACTTCCCACTCCAAAGTAGAATTAAATAGGATAACTAAGGGCCATAACTTGGCCAATAACTCTAAACATGACTATTGACCTTCCCCCCAAAACGTACAACATGAAAAATAAGCTCAATAACTATTACATATCTGGCCCATCCTCGTTCTTTTTATCTTAGGTACTAGTAATTGTTGCTGCATCATGACGACCGTTTCCCAAGTTGCTTCATATTTTGGCAGACCATTCCATTGACTCTAGACTTCCCATTCTCCAAATACTTCATTCTTCAGGTCTTGAAATGGTCCAAAATACGTTGGTGACAGCTTTTCATTTCTTCATCTTGCTAAGGATAATGGGTGGTACAGCCTGAATTTCGATATACCCACTCCACAATTGGATACTCTTCCTACCTCCTCTTCCGATCAGCTAGCTTCTTCATACAATTCTGAGCAGCAGCCAAATGGTTTTTTAACACATCTAAGGCCATGTCTTGTTTAGTTAGCTATTGTTCCAATGTTGCATTAGTCAATTTTTTGTTGCTACAATTTATTAAAGGAAGAGGTGCTCGCCTGACAACATGAAAGAGAGTGGTATTATGGCGATGTGGTATTTGGTACTCTACCAATATTCTGCCTAAGCCACCCTCTCATTCGATGCTTTTGGTCTTTCTGCAGAGAAAGAGCATAAACAAGTTTTCATACACCGATTGACCCTCTTGGTTTATCCATTCATTTGGGGATGATAGGTCATATTTCATCTATGTTGTGTCCCATGTAACCTTGTTCACTCCAAAAAATACTAAGGAAGACCATGTCGTGATCCGTGACTACAAATTGTGGAAAACCTTGAATGGGAGGGCCAGTCAATGTTGCTAATTAAACCACTATAGGTTGGTGAGATAAAACATCAGCAACTTTGTTTTCTAGCCCAGATCAGTAATGGATTTCAAAATCAAATCCTTAAAAGCTTTGCCAATCATAGTTGGTATTCCATTTCCACATCCCTTTGCTCTAACAAACTACAAATGGCCTTTTGGTCAGTTCACACCACAAACTTTTGTCCCAGCAAGTACGGCCTCCAACATTGCAGTACTAGAACAATTGTCATCAACTCTCTGCATATACTAACTTAATTATGGCCTGTGCTGACAACGTATGACTGAAAAGGGCTACCATATGGCTGAAAAGATTCAGTGGCTGTTCTTGCTTGAGAATTCTTGGGATTGTTTACTTTCATTGATCTCTATTGTCCTGTGGGTTCAGTTTTTCACCTAAGTTTTAGGCTATAAGGTTCATTCGAATAAGTTACTCATTGGGAAGCTTCTGCAACTTTATGTCTAATTTTCATTTTATCAAGAAAAATCCTGTACAATTTCTCCACCTTTCTTAGAGGGAAATTGTTTGGCCTTCCTGAACTTTATAGATAACCCATCTCCATTAGTGGAGCCCTCAGTCTTCTCCTACTTGATCATAAAAACAATTGTAGAATTAAGGCTCTTCGGTGCATAGCTGTTTAAGCTACCTCATGGTATTTGGACTGATTGCTTATTTTAGGATGTTTTTAGAGCTCTTCAGGTGAGAAAACATAGATTTTCAAGCCTCCATGAGATGCAGGCCCTATAAATATATTAGTTACCAATAAAATCATAAACAAAAACATGGAAAACAGCCCCTCATGCACAATAGCATTTCAATATTGTCTTACCATGATATAAACTCCTAAGCAAAGACAGACATCCACCATTTGCTGCAACTGAATGACTAGTACAATAGTCTTCATTTGAGAAACTCATTTGAACTTTTCCTTGATTAGTCTTTGGAGATTCTTGAAAACCTGAAGCATGATAATTATCACGTTCACTATCTCTACCTTCCTGTCAATTTACCAATTGACTATATTAAAATTTCTAAGCAAATGAATTGACAAAAAAAAAAAAAAAAAAAAAAAAA